ATATGTCTGTTGACAGTATAATTCAAAAGAATATCTATTTATACCGCTTTCAAACAAACAATGTTTTTTCAATCCCCTTCAACTAAATACCTATTTGTTGGAGAATGTCTTGGTTACTCGAATAGGGTACATGCGGTAGCAGTTCGTTATTCGTTAATTTTCGTCATTGCTATAATGGATTTGTGAGCTGGTGCATTGTCTTGATGAAACAACCCTTTTTTCTTAGCAAAATGCAGCCATTCTTGCTTAATTTTTCCACTCAAACATTGCAATAACTTGGCATAGTATACTCCTTTGATAGTTTTACCTTTTTTAAGATAGTCGATGAAAATTATACCACGCTCATCCTAAAAAACCGATGCTATCACATTGCCTGCAGATGAAACGGTCTTCGCCTTCTTTGGAGCCGGTTCTCCCTCTTGAGTGCACTGTTTTGATTGTTTTTTGTCTCGGGTGTAAAGTGATAAACCCATGCTCGTACGGCCTCGTTTAAACTCTGCTACCCAATATTGTACTGTTGTGAACGAATCCAGTGGAATCCAGTGGAATCCAGTTCAGCTTTTATATTAGTTGGGCTGAGGCCTTTTGAATAAAAGTATTGTATCACATAACGACGGCTAATTTTCTACATTATCACAAATTCAACGAAAACGTTTGCTATTGATAGCTGCCAAACAAATATTCAACAACGCAGCGTCTTCAAACTTGAAAAATATGCTTTATAGATTGTGTACTCGTACTTTCTAATACAGTTATATTTTTCGAACAACTACTGCCATCTCAAGGTCAGGCTCGGTACTTCTGGGATCCCCCTGGTATTACATCAATTTCTAAAATTCCATATATGAACCCAGTAGCCTAATTTTGAATTCATCAAGGCACATGATTGTGAATTTATTCCTTTGATTTTAATTTATTATTAGTGAAAAAAACATGATCAAGAGATTTTTTTTTTGCTTTTCTGCTTCCCCATCATTGAATGAAAAATGTGGGAAACTTTCAAAGATATGTAAATGTCACATATGTTTATTTCAGATACAAATTGAAACAGAACACCTTTTCGAAACAACTACTTTCATATGAACATTGTTTTCATAACATTGCGCCAGTATGTCAAATCATTCAGTTAGTTAAATTCCATCTAAAGCGTTTTTATTGTTATTTTTCCTCTCTTTGGAAGTTTTCCAAATGTCTTATTCAATAATGGAGAAAAAAAAAGACAAAAGACATTTTCTTCCATAAACTAATCTCTTCTAAAAAAAAATCTCGTTTCAATTCAAATGCATATTGATTTGTATCTTCTAGAAATTGTGAATAATTTTCCGTGAAAAAGTTTTCCAATTAATTCGCAGTGATTTCATATCCAAGTAACAATTCAGTATGAGATTTTCATTTTGTTGGATTTTGAAAACAGTTCACAAAAAATTTTACAATTATGTGTTGAAAAACAAAATTCAACGTTTCGGCAAAGTCTCATTTGCCATCTTCTGGTGATGTCTGGTTTTTTTCAACCAGAACAAAGAACAAGACCAAACAACAAGAACAAGAACAAAATTTGAACACTCGCCTTATTTGTGAACAAACATTATATATAAACAAATACAAGAAAATATTTTTGGATCACTTTTCAACACTTTTAAGATGGGTTGGAGACCAAATTTTGAGCTATTTATCATTTATGACCAATAACTTATGAATACACTGACCCGTTAACTTGATGGAAGTTGATAACATCCTGTCCATTAAATCAACATACCTCATTTGCGGCAGATATATCGAATATTACGATACCGTAATGTGTTGCCTTGCTTTTATTTTTGAAAGCAATGAGGTTTTATCATTTTCTAAATAATATTTTTGTATTATTCAAAGATAATATTAATAGTCCGACAACCTTATGGCCAATTAATCGAATGTAATGGAGTTAATTCATAGATGATGCTGGCGTAATTGAAACCCATGTAGGGGGTAGAATATTGGAGGTTAGTGGGAGAATTCGGAAGAAGTTGATTTAAAAAGATGTTGACAGTTGACATATCATTTGTTATATAATCCGTACTAACACAGGTTTGCCAACTGTATCATTTTCATGATCATCACATTCACCATAATTTGACTTGGTGTACCATGTACCGTCGTAAAGTTCAATGGTATACTGATTGTACCATGACTTTGATCAACTCCAATGAAATATTGGCACAAATTACAGAATCAATAAGTCTCATGTATATTGTGGTGACATAAAGGTAATAATAATTGTGGTACAATCACAATGGGTGAGTCTAGGACGAGTGCTACGCTGAATGCACCGAGAAGCGCTTTCTAAATTGCTTCAACTTTATTTAGCAGCTAGATTCAGCAACTATCGTCGTCTACCACATTCAGCGGTGAAACGGTTTCTAGGGCTGGAAGCTGTTGGACAGCTTGATCAATTTTGACGTAATCAAAGAGTCCATTAAGAGAGTCATAGTTACGACCGCACCGGGGGGCCTGGGGGGTAATACATGTACATTTGTTTGTTTGAAAGTGATTGACAATGTTTAATGGTGAACTTTACTTGTACATCTGTTTATATTTTGATGTGGCTCTACAATGCATTTGATAAATCAAAATATGGAACTGTTCTGGAAGGCATTAGTAATTAACATCACAAACTTTGCAGTTAGTGCAGTACCTACATTCACAAGTTTCTTTTTCCAGAATTCCTTTCACAAAACACACAAAATCCACTTTTAGGTTGCTTGGATTTGTAGAGTTTCCTGTATTACTGTTTATATGTGAGATGTATCATTTATCATCACTATTTTCTGTATCCCTATCAACCAACTGCGGTAAAAGAATTAGTGAATACTTGTTCAAGAACTTATAGAATTATTATTCTGGATAAAATTTATTTTAATTTTTACAAATCACAATCAAATATTTCACAAGCACCAATTACTCATAGTACAGTAAATATGGGTCACCCAACAAAAGTTGTAATGAAAAATAAAAATTAAAATTCGATATCAATCAAATGAGATGGATATATAATTATGTCGTTTTTTGGTAGGGGTGACGCCACTTTACGGTTATGTTTTTCATTATGTTTGACTGAATGGCTTTCAGGATTTTTTTAACCTCCCCCCCCCCACCTGGCATTAAACCGGAGTTTATTTTGCAACAGAATTTTCGAATCAATCGAGTTACTACTTTTTATATTTTTATTTGAGAAATCCGTCCGGTACAATTCGAAGCTGTGACGTGTGAATAGGATGTGAAAAGCTTTCAGAATTGCATCAAATGCTATCAATTTTTAGACGATGAATTTAGTTTCGACTTTTGACCAATGCTCACTCCCAAAGGACGATTAACAATTTCACTGAAATCTGTACGAAATGTACAAGCTGTGTACACTGTTTCTGCCAAATTGACATTAAAGTAATAACCATATACAATTATTATAAAAGTAACTGTCGTGATTCGAAGTTAAAGTTTATTTTTCTCAGTCGTTATTCACGAAGATTTATTCAAAAACAAAAATACTTTCTAATTGCCAGAGTTTGAACTGTGCAAGATGACGTATACATATTTTTATTCCAACGTCTCGTCTCCGCAAAACCATCACCAATTTAAATTTTTATGTAAACTGTATAAGGGCCTGCACCCGTACAAAATTCAACTGAGTCATAGACAACGATGTGTGTTCGCCGAATAGGCTCTGAAGCAGTTTGCAACTGACCCTTCAGCGATGGGACCCATTTCTGTATGAATGGATACATGAACAAACAGAATTGTCGAATTTGGAACGATACCAATCCACAAGAGATTCAAGAACGTCCAATGTATCCCGAAAAAGTCACTGGTGTGGATTTTGAGCTGGCTGCTTCATCGGTTTATATTTCTTCGACAACGACATTGGCCAAGTTTTTGATAAGACTTTAGCACCAAACTCAAGTTGGTGCGTAGTTACGAACACTATTGATTTCAACGTACTCGTTTTTCATCAGAAGCATTGAAATGTGTCACACATTTCTAACTTCTTAGATTTCTCTCGCCAACTGCTACAAGAATCAAAGTTAACATATACGTTTGATTGGAACAGATACGTCGAACAAAGGCTTTTATTTTTAAATGTATATATCTAACCTCGTACTCGTGATGCACCTTGTGATGAACCTTTGGTGTATTAATGAATATTACTGGAGTTTTTTCCCAATACCAAACCGTTATTTTAACACCTCGACACGTGTTTTGATCACCAAGTGATCATCTTCAAAAAGAAGATGATCACTTAGTGATGGAAACAACAAAAACCAATCCCGAGGCTGGACAGAAGTGCTCACCTCAATCTGAAGCGGTGGCTGGGGATGAACAGAAATGTCCAACCCAATCTACCGCGTGGACATAGCAGATCACCTCGTGATGTAATACAAAGGCCAAAGCGTAAGCGCATTTGCGGCACCGAGGTCAAAAGGGGAAAGATAGCGAAGGAGACAGAAGTGGCAGCAACTATAAGTGCACCCTTCTCCTTCTCCACTCCACCTCCAACAGCAAGGCACTTCCTGCGGCTGGCGCCGCAGCTCCGCCTAGAATAAAGGCAAGGACCCGGCTGCCCCTGCAGGAAAGCTCCCTCACTTGTGCACCTCCACGGAGGGAACCCCAAGAAGGTTGAAGAAGCCGCGCAACGACAGTAATGTCGCTTCACCTTCCAAAACCTTCGCGGAGGCCACCGTGAGACACCTCAGGGTTGCCAAAGAGAGTGTGTGTTCGGCGAGTCTTGGCCTACACCTGCCAATGTAAAGGAGATGTCTCCTAGTGACCTGTCCATTTTCCTGGAAAGGACAGAATCGACGATAACCTAGGAGGACAACTCCTCGGGAGGATATACAATGGGTTACATGAGTGATGTGGGTCTACACTCACCCTCCATATTCTACAGATACAGATACATATCATATAATAATGATTCAAGATGATTTTTTTTCATTCCAGAAATACTATGATAAAAACAAGAGCTCATTTTTATTTTTCTTACTTATTCTGTATCATACATGTTATATTACAAATGAAATATACAAAAAACTACAATTATTCACCTAAAATATGAAAAGGCACATATATCATGAAAATTAAATATTCACTTTTGAGATGCTTCAGAAAAATATCAATGACGGAAAATGGAATAAATAAACAAATGACATATGCGAGTAATAATAAATAACTTTCTAAATCTACCAAATTTCCACCTATATTTAGTCGCTAGGAAGAAGAGTATTTTCAGCACAGGCAGGTCCTTGGCTGGGCCAGTTACAAGCACCAAGAGAATTGTCAAACGTCAAATGTACAGGGCAGTTGAATGTGTGTAATGTGTATTTATTCTTCGTGCAATCCCATCTGCAGGCGTAGAATTTGTTACATTGGTTGGGGTGTCTAAATAATCCTGCTCTTTGACATTCGATGGTGTCTCTCACGTTACCAGTTCTTGGATTATAGTTACTGATAACCTCTTCAGCGCCCTCCCTAGCGCCTTCTTTAGCAGCTTGTTTCACTAATTTCAATCCGGTTCTTACAGCTTTCGCGATTTCTCTGTCGGATGGAGTGTTATCCCCTTCATTGTATTGTCTTAGGTCCAACTTATCTTGATCATAGGAAGCAGTTGTGCTAACAGGTTGTACTCTAACTCTCTTTCTAATTTGATACGATGGTGTTGGAACGACCAAATCATTTGTAGTACTCTCAATACTCTTAATGAAGATTTGCGGACTAGGTGTGATATCTACCTCATTTTGTGGTTGGTACTGGTAATTTTCCACAACGGTCCCTACTTGGTCGTTATTTTCAACAACATATCCATCGTCATCCTCATCGTCATCCTCCACTATGATTATCTTCTGTTTTTTCTTCAAATTCAACACATTGGATAGGCATGTACACTGAGCTCCAAGCTTAGTTGACAAAAGAGGATGTAAGTCGTTTTGTTTGATGATAGTTTTAATCACAGGCCTGACCAACTTCACAATTTCTGACCTTCGTGATGTTACATCTAGTTCACCGTATTCAGCGGGACTACCATCTGTTGTTACTCTTATCCCTGATCTACCTGGCAGATAATTTCTCGACAGAGTTGTAACTTCCACAGGAGCTTGGGTAGTACTTTTTCTCAATGTATAACCTGGAGTGGAGGTAACCACCGTCGGTGAAGATGTTGAAGTATACCGAACTCTAGATCTCACAGGCAAATACTCTCTTGGAGGGAGCGTAACTTCAGGAACAATGTAGGTTGGACTTGGAGTTGTAACTCTCACTCTTTGCTTCACTGGTAAGTATTTCCTAACAATAGAAGTAGTACCTTCAACAGGAGAGGAAACATACTGATATTGATTATCCAATGAGCTGAATGAAAATTTCGAAATTGGTCTGCTGGTAGTTGTCGATTGTGAAGGTAGATATTCCCTAGTAGGTACTGGTGAATATTTGGTTGAGACATTGGGTTCCTCGTGGAAAGTTACTTCAGGAATTACAGAAGAATAGCCTTCAACTGGAGGTCGGGGAGAAGTCGATAATCTGCTATCATGGAAATAAAATTGAGGTTCTTGAGGGGTCTGAGTCTTCACAGATAGCACTGAATCAATTGTTGACTGATAACTTGGTTCAGGAGTTGTTTGAATATAAACTTCTCGAATAGGGGCAGCCGTACTGCTGACAGTCTGGAAATTATTGGAATAATATGAACTGGATGTATCTGCTGATTGACTAAATAATTTTGCTTCAACCGCTTTATAGTTTTGGTTGAGTTCCGGAGCATGATAGTTCTCTACTACAACTGGGACAGATGGATTTGAGCCAGTTATGTATGCCTTTTCTTTTACGAACAATTTTTCTTCGACAGGTTGTCTATTTTCGTAAGTTTCTACGAATGGTGTTGGTTCCTCCACGAACGATACGGAAGGTCTAGGATAGTTATATCCACTGGTCTGTTCTACTGATTGCCTGTTTTCATAAGTCTCCACGAAGCGAACAGAAGGTTTTGGATAATCATATCCCTTGAACTGAACATTCTTCTGCGTTTGAATTACTAAAGACGGACTAGGTGTTGAAGAAATCCTTTTAAATTCAAGATGCGAATTCAGAGTCGATGGTGTATAAAGAATTGGTTTCAGTGTAGAAGTGGGAACGTAATTGTAACTTGATACTACGTCTGGTTGGAAAACGGGTTTTTCAGTAATCGGCAAGTAGGTAGCTACCGGCTTCTGGTAGTTACCGGTCGCTGGTAGAATAGCCTTTTCTGTTACGGGCAGATAAGTGGAGGAAATAGACTTTGGAGTTTGTTGAATGATTGTTTTTTCTATGGCTGGCAAATATGTGTTGACGGGTTTCTTAATAACCTCATTAAAAGTATAGCGTGTTACAGAAGGTTTTTGGTAGTGGTAACTCGACACGACCGTTGGCTGTACGTATTGAATAGCTTGTTGATATGTAACAGGTGTTTCTGTTACAGGTGCATATGTTGATACAATAGGCTTGAAGGTTTGTTGAACAATTGGAGGTTTTGGTGTTGTTGATGAATATGTTGAAACCAAGTCTTTGAAAGTGTAACTCGTTGACACGATTGGTTTTTGATAAGTCGTTATAACTGGTCTAATATTCGTTTTCTGCGTGGAGTATTCATAATTCAAAATTTCTGGTTGTACTGGTTGCGAGATATAATGGGAAGTTATTACAGGCTGAATTGGTTTCTCTTCAAAACGAATTGATGGCTTCTCATAGTGATATCCGTCGTTCACAACTTCTTTTTGATAATTGTAAGTAGCAACGGTAGGTTGAACATATGTTTCTTGAACGACTGGTTTTCTAATACTGAATTTAGAAATGATAACTGGATTTTTCTTTTCTACTGGTCTTTCCTGAAAGCGTATTGCAGGCTTCGGATAATCATAGCCTCGAACGTAGCTGAAGGATGATGAAGGTTGAGATTTGACAACTGGAGCAATGGTTGATGAGACGTAAACTTGAGGTTGCTGCAATAGCACTGGCTCGGGCGTAGATACTTCATTATATGAAGATACAACCACTTGCGGTTGTGGGACTTCTTCAAATTTGATAGCGGGCTTCTCGTAGGTGTAACCATTGGCCCTAGACTCTGATATGTGAACGTTGTAGCTAACTGGCTGTTTCACTGATACAACTGGTTGCAAAGGAGTTATGGAATCTTTGACAGATTGTATTGGCTTTGCGGTAGAAGGCGTTGCATAATCATAAGATGTAACAACTGCAGGATTTACTGTACGAATTGGAGTTTCTTCAAAATGAATATTTGGTTTGGGATATTCATATCCCCTTTCAACCGACTGTGCAACGTTCAACACGGGTTCGATTGTAGAGGAAACAGTGAAAACATTCCTATCATTATGGGCAATGTTGTTTTCTCGAACGTGGGATTGATAGTTCCAGCTGGTAGCTTCGTGGGAAGAACCGTCATACCCTTTCTGACTATCAATATTTACCGATGGTTTCGAGTATTGGTATCCCGTAACCAAACTGGACGGAGTCGTTGAAATAAATTTAACGAAATCGGATGATTTAGTTCGTCCAAATGTTTTGAATTGCAATTGTGGAACATTAGCTATGACACCACCATCATATCTTTCAAATCCGGTAGCCGTTTTCAGAGTAGGAATGGGTACAGAAGTAACTGTTGGAATTGAAGCATGTGTGGTAACTGTGACAGGAGCCACCGTACTTTGTATATTTCCCAAATTATTATCTCCATTGTTGTAAATTTCGACCCCCGATTTAGATTCTCCAACAGCAGAGTAGCCACCGCCGACTATATCAATGCTGTCACCAACACCATGATATTGGTGTGCAACATTGTTTCCGGCTTCATTGATATTTTTCAATCCAACAGTGTTGAACTGTGTATTTTGGCCAACGAATTGGTTGAATGTTTGAGTTGACTTTGCCCTTCCATCTTCCACGAAATTAGATCCAAAATTATATTGGTATCCATTATTACTCTGCCCTTGGTTCTGGATGTTGATTGAAATATCATTTGAGGACGATTTTCGCTCGTCATTCTCAGAATGATCTTGGCTCGAAACGTATTCACCTGTTTGTGCATACTCATTTCCTGCAGTTTTTGAGGCAGTGTCGGTTTGATAATGTACAGTGTACAGTCCTTGATTATTTACTGAGCCTTCATTTTGATGGTTGTCTGTCTGTCCAAAGGTGTCAACCAGATTCGATGAATGTCTATTATGTGAATTCAAACCTTCCAATCCGCTATATTGGCTTTGTGAAGATTCAGATCCAAATTCGTTGGAGGCAGCTTGACTTTCATATCGTACGTTGTTTAAATTTTGGTCTGTTGATACATGTTGGAGAGTACCTATTTGTGCGGAAGAAGGGTATACGACAGAACCGTGATTCAAATTCAATGAATACTGGGTATTTACATTCGCCCCCTCTTCTCCTTGGTATTGGTTTTGCGAAGACTTTGATCCGAACTCGTTTGAGCCAATATAAGTTTGAAACTGCACACCGTTCAACCCTTGATCTATTGCTATACCGTGATTTTTACTACTATCAGTCTGAGCTAAGGTTGACTGATATGAGCCCGTTTCACCAGAAGAATACTGAGTATTGGTATTGCCATTTGTTTGTATATAATATTGGTCCTGAGAAGATTTTGCTCCAAAATTATTCAAGTCAGAAATAGTCTGATATTGAATATTCAATCCTTGATTCTGCTGACCGTCTGCTTTTTGTTCTGAAGAAGACTGGTGTATTCCAAATCCATGAATATTTTGGTTTAAATCTGACGTTGATGTTTTTCTTCCTACAGATGAATCATGTTCCAAGGAAGATTGGTATCTTCCAGATCCGTCAATATTTCCATTATTACTAAGGGTATCATGTCCACTAGCTACATTCAAGGTATTGAGTTGTGAATAGCCGAGGTTTCCGTTTGACAAATTTATATTTCCAGTTTCTACGTTGCCATTTGTTTGGTAGTTGTTGGTTAAACCGTCATATCCGGCAGCTTCAGTGTTGTACTTAACATTTCCACCGTAGATATTAGAACCACCACTGAACCCTGCTTTGAGTAATCCAGCATTTTGTAGTGATTGGGTAGCCTTGATGCCCAGCCCTCTGAAACCTCCAGTGTATCCATTTTGGAATCCGTCAGAACCGATATTGCTGTAAATGATGGGCTGTTCAAGTTTGCCATTGATTCCACCTAGTTTCACTAAACCCAGAGAACCAAGACCGTCGTATTGTTTCAGGACTACTCCTGATTGATGTCCCGTGGATACTCCGCCATAGTAGAATTCAGAAGCTCGGTTGATTCCAAAGCCATTTCCATTTCCACATTTCGGAACCAGCCAAGGCCACTCACAGACTAAGCGATCTGAATCGAACATCAATCCAAATGGACATCGGAACTCGTAGGCAGATAAGGGTGATTTTCCGTGATCTAAACAGGCGAAAAACCAGCGGCAGTTCTCAGGATCGGCATAGTATCCTAAAAAAAAAAATCGATATGTCACTCTTTGATTATGAAGGAACAGATATAACAAATGATAATCTTTATGGATCTCTTATTTCTCTTCTTCCAATTATTTAGACAGAAACCATTTATCGTCAATCCAATATGAAATAATAGAATATTTCTACATGGCCTTTCGGGGTATCTCATAAGTCAGATCCAAACTGATGAAATTGGTGTCCGATTTCTGACTGATTTCGAATAATTTTCATTTTTCTGATTTTTACAACAAAACTTGTTTTTATTACCCATAAAAAAAGTATTTGAAAAAATCAAAGATATGTTATATTATAGCACAGTCAAAAAATTACCACTTTTGGTAAAAACTACAACACTTTTTGCTTTTTTGAAATAATATTGTAATTTATAAAAAACAACAGGAGTGGTATTTATACCAATAAAAAAGTTGATTCAATAAAAATATTATGCTTCTAATAAGAACGATTTGAAAGAAGTAAACAATGAATGCCCGATTTGTCTCCCTTTTGCTTTAAAGTATAGCCTGAAGCATGAAAATTGATTGTCTTTGGAGATTTCTAAATGCGGGCATATTACTTCGTCTCTCTTGCCTATAGCCTTGAAAACAATCAAGAGGTTCCAAATCCGGGGACCACAGTGATATAGTTTTTTCCGTCCCTTTTTCCTATTTCTCTGATAGATATTTGTTGAAAATTACCCAATTTGGCGAGAAAAATGTGGTGAAATGCTATGCAACTGAAAGTACATATTTCTGGGCGAGTTCAAAGGTATTTTTTGTAGTGAGTCTGGCAGACAGTTTTTGCAAAAAATCGTGAAAACTTTTATCCGTCCAATATTCCAGGTAGCTCGGATGGGTCAATTATTGTTATTCCATTCATTACACCACCCAATATATTAGTTTTGAACTGGTGTTGAAAGTAATTGTTGTTTACAAAAGGCAATCAAATAAAATATTTTTGACCGTTTTCCCGATAGGCTATTGAAGTGTTAATAATTCATTTGCTGCAATTTGATCAAACGTGGAAATGAAATTCCGTTCGATTATCGGATGGATTTTTTATTTACTCACGGGTCTGTGTAAACCCGTGTAGGCAGTTTCAATATTTTTTCTGGAAAAACAATCGCGATTTAATGAAATCTCAAGAACTATCAGCAACACAGATCAGATAACCCTTTGAAAAACGCCACTGGAATGAATATTTCAAATTTCATAGCATCAGATGTATTTTTTAATGGTCAGCATAGTTGCCTTCCAAGCAGTTGATCCGGGTTCGATTCCCGGCCATCGCATGATCAACTGCTTGGAAGGCAACTATGCTGACCATTACACCACCATCGCAACTTGTTTTATCATCTGAACTTTTGATTGCAGTACAGTCTATGTCATACGTAATTCGTAACAAGTGAAAGGAACGAGTAATTCTTGACCAAGTCTAGTAATAACTGATGATATACATTCCATGAATCGAGCAAGGCTGTTTATTTTTTCTCAAGTTAATTTTCAAGTGCGATGGTGGTGTAATGGTCAGCATAGTTGCCTTCCAAGCAGTTGATCCACATTCGATTCCCGGCCATCGCAATGTTTTTTTTAATTAATTATTTACTGTAAATTTAACTTTTTTATTCTTCTATAAGGTGAATTCAAGGTTTTGTAACTCTGCTGATATTTGAACTTATTTTCTATGAATGCAGAACGTGAAACAGTACATTTCAGTTTTGCAATTCATTCAATAATTCTACTCTTGCGTATTGAAATTATGTAATTCATTTCATGGAAGTATTGATTGAATATCAATAAATTTTATTGGAGTTATTCTGTTCAAATCGTATTCTTATTTTGAGGTCTCAAAAAATTTGCAGTCATTATCATTAATATTGTTTTAGATTTCATCTACTCAGTTGTCTGCTTACAGAAACTGCAGAAAGCTTATAGATCTATACTAATATACAGTCTCCAGAGTAGCCAAGAAATATCGCTTTTACTAAAAACCACATTTTTTGCTAATTATAATGAGATTGTACTTTGTGAAAAACAAATTGTTACTCAAGTTTCAAACACTATTCGTATTTTCAGTAAATAATATTTTTATTTCTAACGAGGAATGTAAATTATAGAAATAGAAAATGTTGGTTCAATAAGAATATTATGCTTCCAATAAGAACTTGGAAAAATACATATTCATATACGACTAAAGAAAAATAATAAAAGTGCTCGAATTGTCTTCCTCCAGTTTGAAATAACCTGAAGCGTAAAATTCAATGTATCTCTTGCCCATAGACTCGCGCGAGTTCAAAGGTATTTTTTGTAGCAAGTCTGGCAAATAGTTTTGAAAAAAAATCGTAAAAACTCCTTCCCGTCCATTACACCACCTCATAAATTATTACTCAACTGGTGCTAAAAGCGAGTTTTGTTTACAAAACAGCATTTGAATAAAATATTATAGATCCACGAAGAGTCGATAATTCATTAATTCATTTGTTGCAATTTGAACAAACGTGGAAAGGGAATTAAGTTCGATTATAAAACGGATTTTTTATTCACTCACGGGTGTGCACGAAATCACTTTCAATATTTTTTGTGAAAAACAATCGCGATTTAATCAAATCTCACGGACTATCAGCGATCCAGATAACCCTTTGAGAAACGCCACTGGAATGATCATTTCAAATTTCATAAGATCAGAAGATGTCTTTTTTACTGTAAGGTACATTCGAGTAAATAATGGAAAACTGGTTATTCATTGAAACTTTGATTGTCTGTTTCTCAAAAAACGAAATAATTCAAAACATACATTTATATTTATACGAACTTTCGTTTCAGCAAGACATGACCTCCTAAAATCATCAGTTATCGTATCCTCTATACAATATAGATAAATCTAGAATTTTAGAGTGTTGTGTATAATTTTTGAAAGTACATATACGCCTACAAGGACTTACTCGTACGTAAAAACAATTCCATTCAAATATAAGTCGAACAAAAATAAAATTCTCACAACCAGTAAATAGAAAAAAATACGTGCGATGGCCGGGAATCGAACCCGGATCAACTGCTTGGAAGGCAACTATGCTGACCATTACACCACCATCGCAACTTATTAATTTCTTATTCGAACTGTTACTTCAGTACACTGAAAGGTGGGTAATTCTTAACAAGTAAAAGGAACATAATTCTTCACCATGCATAGTAATTTCTGATGATATACATAACATAGATCGAGCAAGGCTTTCGAAAAATTTTCCTGTTTGGTTTTTCTCAAGTTAAACTTCAATTGCGATGGTGGTGTAATGGTCAGCATAGTTGCCTTCCAAGCAGTTGATCCGGGTTCGATTCCCGGCCATCGCAGTTTTTTTTAAACTTGTAAATAGATTTCGAGAAATTCAAAGTACCTATATGTTACACAACTGCAGTCTATTTCTGAGTTCATAGATATAATAAAAAATAACTATATTTTTGTAAATTAATTTGAAAAAAAAAATCATCAGGAAGTTAATGGTGGACATTTTGGGATAAAATAAACTGGATTTTGCATATCTTCTCTTGAAATTATGATATTTATCGTTCGTTCGCAGATTCTTAACACGAATATGTGTGGATCTGATATCCACGAGAAAAAATACCTATCATACTCCTTTTTCATTTGAAAAAATTAGTTAGTACTGCCCTCTTGATGACTAGTGATACAACTTTTGTCGTGTCTTCGTCCTTGATATCTTGTCCCGTTCAAATGTTAAGAGGGGTAGGGGTATAACTTTTTACGTTCGCACTGTATATTCATCGCTATTGACGACGATCCATAATAAATGTCATTTTTTCTTCGACAAAGATAAGAAAATATATTGTTTTTGTATTTTTCAAAAAAGGTGAGGATGCAAAATAGGTAGAAAAATCCGAAGTATGAGTATTCGAGCAATTAGTTTCGCTAATTGATGTTTTGTGATGAAAATTGTGTCTGTCTGCAGGAATTTCTGAAGATGATCCCTCTATCTCCGTCTCTGTTTTCCATTTGAGGAAATATTTTGTTTGTATTGCATTTGGGAATACTGAACTAGACGCCTTCCTGAAACACATCAACAGCCTTACATCACTTTCACAATGGACACAACGACTTGCCATTCTTAGACGTATTGGTGAAGGGGATCGACACTAAGTGGGAAACATCTGTATACCTATAACCCACTCACACGGGACAGTATCTAAAGCACTAATCCAACCACCATCAATTGACTAAAAGAGGAATAATCAAGACTCCATTAGACGATGCTTTCGGGCTTTGCGATACGAAGGAAGGTCTCGAGAAAGAACTAGACATCACCAAAAATGATCTTCAGCGGAATGGCTACTTCAAAGCGATGGTAGAACAGACTTTGGCTAAAAGACAGCAGGAGCCTTGTAAGGAAGAAAAGCCGTCAGAACCAGTGCTTGCACTTCTCTTCATCAGAGGATTATCGGAAAGGATGAGAAGAATTGGTCCCAAGTACAACATCAGAACCTGCTTCATATCCGGAAACACTATCCGTAGCAGCCTCACGAAAACTAGGCCACCAGACGCGGACTGCGATTCCAAGAACTGCATTTACCGGATACCCTATTAGTGCGGAAAATCCAATATTGGTGAAACTAAGAGACCATTGGATGTTCGCATGGCCGAGCACAAAAAATACACACAGAGAGGGAAAACCAGCAAATCAGGAATAGCAGAGCATGTTTTGACCTATCAACATAACATCGAGTGGTCCCAATGGCAAACTTCCGGGCCAAACGCACACTTCTACACGTTCGTCAAAGGCCAAACCAGCAGGACAGTCGAATTCGAACACGCTGTATTCGTCACTGAGCTGATCAAATTTCACACAACGGTAGAATCGGTTACAGGAACGGGGATGGACGAAATATCCTTGGCGGGAGCATGAGAATTCGGTTCTCGTGTCCTAAAATAAGTAAGAAATAGGTAAGTATATTTGGAACGATAGTTGAAATGATTGAACTCGGTAGAATTACATACGTTCAAAAAATATGTTGATATTTGGAGTACCCTAGAAAATTTAGGTATCATAAAGTAAAATAAAAATGTTCAGTCATTGTATAGAGAATTATTGAATTTTACTATGAAGCAGTAGTTTTTCTTCACTGTAATAGTACGACAGAAAAAGTTCTACATTGAATGTAAGATAGATTACTGATAAGACTTACATTTTCCATAATTCCACAAGCAATGAAAATAATGTTATAATCAGATAGATCGAATTGAAGTTTTTTTCTATTTTGAATCCCTGAAAAATCTATAGTCAATTCACCACAAAACTTCTTTGCGGTAGAAATTTTGAAAATCTGGACGTTTACAAACTGGACAGGTAACTGTCATCGGGAACAATATAGTGGTCGAAGAAAATTTACGAGGACTCTCGCCATTCTCGAGTTATACGGGGAAAACCAAAAATGCTGTTTTTCGTTTTTTTCGAATGGAATTGTTATTTCAGAGAATATCAAACAATGAAAAAAAAATTCATTGTATTCGAAGTGTACTATGACGATGTAATAAGAAATATTCAATAAAACGTTTCTTGTCAACATGACCACCATCAATTTTTTTTTCAAATACGGGCCTGTCTTTTTTATTACAGATAATGATAAAGCGATAAATTCACAATACAAGGGTATTTCACATTTGATATTTTTATAGCGTTTCATTTGAAATAACCACCATCATCAGTGACAACAATCAAACGGCAAAACAATTTATTTTATCGTGAACTTTTGGGAAAAATGAAACCAATACGGAAAATCAAAGCTACATGACAAACTTCATTAGATGCTCGAAATGACGATATCTTTGTTGAATGCACGTTGTTAGTCCAGTTTCTATGGCAATTTTCTAGCATAATAGGTGTAATACTAATACATGCATCTCTTATTTTTCGTTTGAGATGGTTGATATCTGTACTTGGTGTCGAAAAAACTTCATCCTTTATGTATCACCAGACAAAAAATCTAAAGGAGTGACATCTGGGGATCGAGCTGGTCAGTTAATGGGTCAATTGTTTCCAATCCATGTTTTTGCATCTAAATGTCCCCTTACTATTACTGCATTATGGGGAGGAGCGCCTTCCTGTTGAGAATATTTCATGATAGATATTCCAGTGGCAATTCATCTAAGTAGCCATCTAATTCATTGAATAGAAAACGAAGATACATTTCACTATTCAAATGAACATCGTAAAAGAAAGGGCCAAGGATGTTTGTTCCCACAATTCCCAATCAAACATTTATTCCGAACGTTTCTTGGAAATTGGTTTCCCTATGTAAATGTTCATTTGTATTATTCCACCTAGTTCTGTTAAACCAACCATTGTTGGTGAATTTTGATTCGTCCGTCGATATAATTTTTTTACAAATATTTCCAACTTTCCTATTTCTACGTCTTAACCACTTCGCAAATCGTACTCTCCTTCCGTAATACCTTTTATTTTCGTTACTTCCAGGATTGAGAATTATAAAAATATTACGAGTCATAATTGATTAGGGAAAAATAAGCCTTGAAAGAAGGCTTACGGCAATACAAAAATTTCCAAAACGAAAAAGTACGAATTTACATTGTGTTAGGGTACCTACTTGTAGAATTTATTGGATTGTCTGAATTATATTTTGAAAAAATCGAAACAATTTACAAAAAGGAGTATCGATAGGACTGGAATTTAAAATTGTTGTCACTGATGACGGTAGTTATTTCAAATGAAACGCTATAAAAATGCTTCAAATACAATAACATTTTTTTTCCATTTTTTTATATTCTCCGAAATAACAATTCCATTCGAAAAAAACGAAAAACAGCGGTTTTGGTTTTCCCCGTATAACTCGAGAAGGGCGAGAGTCCCCGTAAATTTTATTCGACCGATGACAGTTATTTTTTTCCCATTTAATCATCTTATTACAGTTTGTTACAGTTTAGAATATAGCAATGTTACAACATGATAAAAGAAACGGCCTGTAGGTATGTGTACTTGTGATGCACCGTTTGGAGCCTTTGGTGTAGTAATGAATGTTACTGGAGTTTTATCTCAACAACACCTCGACACTTGTTTCAATCACCAAGTGATCATCTTCAAGAGGAAAATTAACCGTTTGGTGTTGGGATAAAACTCCAGTAATATTACTTATATATTGTTTAGAAAATGAATTTCGACTATATATTAGGTTCAAATGAATTTGTGTTATGTAATGAAAAATTTAGTTGTTGTAAGTAAATCTTATATAGGAAAGGAGCCTACTTAATATAGTCATCAATAATTTCCGTCGTATCATTGTTGTAGAAAAAACCCTTCTTGATAATAAACATCTGTTGTTGTGGCAAATAGAAATAGAAATGTTTTTTCACAAAGAACCATAATTTCTAATATCAGTCACCTCTGTAGACGTATAATTTTTATCACTAAACATTAAAGGCAGTACTAGTTCACTCTCAGCACAAGCATCTGCGATGGTGGTGTAATGGTCAGCATAGTTGCCTTCCAAGCAGTTGATCCGGGTTCGATTCCCGGCCATCGCAGCTTTTTTTTAAACTTGTAAATAGATTTTTTTTACAAACAATGTTCATGTTTTTAATGGAGTTTTTCGAAATTTTCAAACTTCTTCAAATCAAAAGCGAAATCATAAAATTTATAAGAAAGCTATTGAGAATAGAAATTTTTCGTAATTAATAATTTTTGGAGATATTTTCGTGGTGTTCCGTCTAATACTGCAAATTTGTAAAAAAAAGTTCATTTAGATTTTTGGGCACAATTGGGATTTTTCTTCAGTTATAAACGTCCTAAAATATATTTCATCACATATGCTCAATTGATAGTGATTCTTTATTTTTCAATTGAATGATAAAATTCTTCGTTTCATGAAAATCATCTATGAGTGGAAAAATTCTTATCTATTTAAATTTATCGTTATCAGCTGAGATCTACATAAATCAACTTCATTATCATTGAATTCAACATACTATTTTTTCATATGGTTGCAATAACTTGTAAATTGTACCAAATCAAATGATAGAAATAAGTAATAACGTGAATAACAACACTAATGAAAGTAATTTAGTTTCATTCATGAACATATTATTTTTCAGTTTTGTTGAGAAATATATTTTCTTTATAATTAGGGTACTTTTGGAATGTAATTTTGCTTTTGTTCATTATATTTTCAATGTTTTCAACAACATAGTTTTGCTAATAAAGTACCACAACTCTCATGTTGTATTAATTCATTGACGCAGGAATGAAAATTTGTGTAAGATAAATTTGAAGGAACCAATGATTGCTCAAATTCACGCAAAAAAATTATTAATTTTACATCTGTCAGATTTTTGTTCCGGTACGAAAATACACGTGAATAAAATTATAAAATAAACTATATTTCATTGCATAAGAATATTGCTACCACTGCAATTATTACTGTTTATAAATGTCCAAATTGGTTCCATCAAAGGTCCAGTTTATATCCAATTTTCACTTATGGATGCTTCAAAAAGACGTTTAGAAGGTGATGCCCTTTTAATGTCCAGTTTGAAGTCTTTGAAGTTCCAATCAAGGTCCACATTTTTTAGTCCAAATTCGATCCATTGGGGCTAAAAATGTTATATCCATCAAATGGCATCAATATGACTTCCCTTAGCCATCAAAGAACGCCTAATGGAAATACGTAAAGTTCATTACGGATATCAATGGGACATCCATTGGATGTTCACGTGCTTACTGGGTATATGGATATCATACAGTATTCTGCAAATTGCTAATTACATGACACATACTTTTGAGGAGCGTACTAAACTACTACATTAATTTACGTAGAGAAATATTGGCGATGTCCAAGTTGAACATTACTCTCTTAGCAAAAAAAACCTGCTCAATAGGAAGACTCAACAAATTTTATCTGTTCTAGATTCAGGTCAACTTTGGTCTGGAAGGTAACACATCTGTCTACTTCCCTGCAACAGAAGGCGTTGCATCATTGGCATCAAGTTCAGTACTTGTCATCTGAAATGAAACATCATTCACCAAATGAACTAATGAGCTTCTTTAAGAAGCTGGACTCATTTGATCAGGTTTGATAGGAGTTACAGTGAAGAGCGCGAACATTAGATCTACGGACTAGTTTTTCTGTTACTGATTTTCTGTTGATGCTAGTGCCTAGCATAATTGGTGAATTATTTGTTGGTTGGATGATAAAGTAGTATCAACTGTAAAGAATGAAACAATTCAAGGAAATATGGATGAATCTTAATAGATAGCATTATCTCACCTGTCTTATGATGTGGTGATGTCCCTCAACGTCAACAATCCTCGTAATTCTGTAGGGCGAAACTTGCACATTATCCAGAGGCCTGCTGGTGCTTTCTACTAGTTCTCTTTCCAATGAATGAAGAACGGCTCCTCTTGGAGCTCTGGCTTGCCTGGAAAGACCGTTATAGGCTGATTCCAGAATGGTAGCGCCGCAGTTTTGACCTCCATCCTCTGAAAGATCTTTGAGAGCTAACCCGGCTAACCCTCGAATTCTGGAGTATTTCGCTTTGATGTCAATACTGGAAGAATCTTCAAAAGCGATCCATTTGTTTTTACTGAAAATGCAAATTCAAGATGATTATGAATTTTTTGGAAATTCTTTCGGAATTTTTTGTGGGTCAGTGGTAACTGGCAGTCTTAATTTAAGTTCCCGGGGTACCAGACTCCTTGCATCATCCGCCATCTTGAATTTGAGGGGTTGATTTTTGTTCAATGAATAAGTGATTTATTTTCAATTCGAGCCGAAAAATAGTTATTACAAAAGTTGCCTGAAATTGAATTTTCTACGATTTTGGTTCGTATCATTTTTTTTGTAGGATCGATATTTTTCGATTTATACACGAAAAAAGAAAATTCATTTATTTTATGTTAATTTTCACGTTTACGAAAAGAAATTTCCAAAATGAAGTTGTATAAAGATAAATTTCTTATAATTTTGGTTCCGATCAATTCAAAATGTAGATCAATTTCACCTGGTACTCAGGCTACTATTTACAAAAATGTAATCTACCTTCGAGGGGTTATTTAGACTTGTGATGTTTCAAAATGATCTGCTGACTAAGGCCTTCTGATGGGAATATCTTGATCAAACTTTATACATACATATATACACGTATGTATGGATTCACATATATATTAATAATACCAATCATATATGAGCAGCTGTGTTTTGATCAGTTTCAATCGTGTGTAAATTCTGAGAATTTTCTTCTTCAAAATATGTTCTTTAACGTCAAACTCAATCATTAAACTGACATTTCAGTTCGAAATTAATCGTTTCTAACGAAAAACATGAATAAAAACATGAACCCCAACTCTGGTGATTTTTCATAATATTCTGCAAACTCAGGCGTTTCTTTTCGAATATTTTAATGAAACTATATATTCTCCTTGTAATTTTTGCGTACTTTCTTCTCGAACCATTTTCCTTCACATTTAATATAGCCTTTGGATTTGAAAATTTTCTTAACACGAATCAAACCAACCTAACCTCGTAACCCAACCACAAAAGTAAGTAAACTAGCTTTCGAAAGGAGTAGATTCAACTTTTTCCTTGGTGGCAATAATATCTTAAGAAGAAAGATAGGAATCTGAAGTTTGATCAGCAAATTATTTTGAAAAATCACAAAAGTATACCTAGTTTAGGTTAGGTGAGTGGGCCTATTCGTCCCTCCACCGCAACCCGCAAAGGTTCATTGTGGCTCACACCTATTCAAACTCGACCAAATAAACCCAGCTTCTTGACAAAGTCGATAAGTTTATATGGTGAGTGATCTTTCAGGTCAGATGGTGGAAGTGTGGTTCTACCAAATCCTGAAAACCTGAAAAAACCTGAAAGTGAACATCAAAAAAACTGTATATATTCAATTGAGGTGCAGAAGAAACAGTCCCAGTTCTTCTCTTGCCGTAATTCAGAACTCAGAATCGACCAAATTCTTAGGACACCACCTAGAGCAATATATATCATGGGACACCATCTTCAACACATACAAAAAAAAAATTCTGGATTCTTTGCTATACTGAAGCTAAAAAAAACAATGGACAAAACCGTTCTATTGGACATGTACTATTCACTTGTATATTGCCACCTCACATACAACGTCATTCTATGGGGAGAATGCACTAATGCTGACAGAAATTTTGTCTGACAAAAACGCATCCTGAGACTTATGTTCAGTATGAATCCGAAGATAGCTGCAAGACTATATTTATTGACAACAAAATATTGACTTTTCCTTGCAAAGATATCTATAAACATTGAAGAGAAACTCATCTTAAACTGGATTTTGCATATCTTCTCTTGAAATTATGATATTTATCGTTCGTTCGCAGATTCTTAACACGAATATGTGTGGATCTGATATCCACGAAAAAAAATACCTACATACTCCTTTTTCATTTGAAAAAATTAGTTAGTAGTGCCCTCTTGATGACTAGTGATACAACTCTTTTGTCGTGTCTTCGTCCTTGCATTTTGTCCCGTTCAAATGTTAAGAGGGGTAGGGGTATAACTTTTTACGTTCGCACTGTATATTCATCGCTCTTGACGACGATTCATAGTAAATGTCTTTTTTTCTCCGACAATGATAAGAAAATATATTGTTTTTGTATTCTTCAAAGAAGGTGAGGATGCAAAACAGGTAGAGCAATACGAAGTATGAGTATTCGGGCTATTAGTTTCGCTAATTGATGTTTTGTGATGAAAATTGTCTCTGTCTGTAAGTATTTCTGAAGATGATCCCTCTATCTCCGTCTCTGTTTTCGATTTGAGGAAATATTTTGTTTGTATTGCATTTGGGAATACTGAACTAGACGCCTTCCTGAAACACATCAACAGCGTAAGACCTTCCATCACTTTCACAATGGAGAAGGAAGTCCACAACGAATTGCCATTCTCAGACGTATTGGTGAAGAGGATCGACACCAAGTGGGAAACATCTGTATACCGATAACCCACTCACACGGGACAGTATCTGAACCACGAATCCAACCACCATCAATCGACTAAAAGAGGAATAATCAAGACTCCCTTAGACTGTGCTTTCGAGCTCTGTAATACGAAGGAAGGTCTCGAGACCTTGCATTTACCGGATACCCTATTAGTGCGGAAAATCCAATATTGGTGAAACTAAGAGGCCATAGCAGAGCATGTTTGGACCTATCAACATAACATCGAGTGGTCTCAAGCTGAGATCATACACAGAGAGGAACATTAGTTGAGGAGGAAATTCAAAGAAGCTGCATATATGTTGTTCAACAACGTATTCAGCCATGCTAGCGTAGGGATACGCAACATATGTAAACCCATCATCAAGCGAAAAATAGCCAACGGTCATCTCCACTAAACCAGTGAAGCGAAAAAAGGAAAGCGGAGATAAATGATAGTACTCGAATGACCCATAAATAGTCATCTCTCGAAAAAATCAGTCTAATCATCACTCGATTTTCCAAATAACCTGAAATTTTCCGAGAGAAAATTTGAAAATAATGATAACTTTCATTTATACTTTTCAATACTTACTTCTATTTCTGGACGTGAAGCAATTTGTGTCTACATGTGAGATGGTTTTGCAAAAACACATGTAGATTCGTGAAATGTCAAGTTTCATTATCGTATACATCAGTCAGTTTATATTTTATGAACAATGCGAGGAAGTTTCATCAAGAATATATTATGTACTTGCGATATGTGTACAAAAAAACGAAAACTACCGCCGAATACGTTCAAGAAAATTATTTTCGGAAATATTTCACTTTTTAGTGATTTTCGCTTTGTATTCTGAAAATGCGGAGAAATTTCCATATCTAAACAGAAGTTAGATGTGTAGAAGTTGAATGTGTAGAACTTGAACTCTTCCGACATTCCGAATCTCTGCATATGATGATTCAAATGACAGTGAAGGCCTGTTAGACATCGTAGTTCATCCCTACTGTAGTCCAACAACTGTTTGGTATCAAGCTTCGAAGGGTGGATAAACTGCTTGGAGTGAGCCAATCCTGGAAGATTCTGCCAGAAGTCTATATGATGAATAAGAAAAATAATGTTTTACTGGATGTGATCTCATACATAATAAGGAAATTGGCGAAAGGTATTCATTTCATATTAATGTAACAAGGCCGCGATTGTGAGGAAATCTGGATGATGTGGGTAATTATTGGCTTATGTATAGTGACCGCGCAAATAGTCAGTTAGGTATATTGCAGGTTTTTCATGCAATGAGAAATGAAATTGCTTTAATCATAGAACGGAACTGTAAAAACATGCTGCCAACCAGAGTGGCATCATCATAAAATGATCATCCTCAGATAGTGCAGATGTAAAATTTTCTGGTGAACGCCAATTGTTCTCATCAAACAATTTTCTCACTCCTCATTTATTTTTCGGGATAAAACTGCACCAATAGTTTCCGGTGTAGAATGCACATCAGAAATTAATTTTTGATTAGTTTTGAATACATGATTTTCTTTTTATTGGAAATTCGCTCGAGCTCAGCCTAAATAGATTGCATGAAAATAGTTTGAGCGAAAGAAAATACTGTGATCATCACGAAGAAAATTATCAAAGCCGATTCGAATTACGAGGGATGAAATGAGGTGAATTTTGGGAGTGTAAAATGGATTTTCAGGATTTCCACTGAAACTAGACCTCCAATTAAATAGAAAAATTCGTATAAAAAGTTGTGGGGAATATAAAGATTTACAACTTTTTTATGAAACATTTTTCCAAATAACCTGAAATTTTCCGAGAGAAAATTACGGAAATCATTTGCTTTTACCAAAATACATGGAAATTTACCTTTTGTTATTCTGAATATTCTGTTTTTTCCAATAGAAATTATCGGTATAAAATTTAATTTTAATATTAAACTTAAAAAAATACCCCATTTTCAGACTGAAATATCCATTTGCTGATATTTATTTCAAAATCAAGAGAGTTACTTTCTTGTACGACTATCTACTTTTAGATGATGTGGAAAATGGAAAGAAAAAATCAAAAGAATCAATATCTGAAAAAACTTTACCCAAAATTTAATTGAATTGAATACTGTTATCTATTATCATTTTGACAATATTTTCGGTCACATTCAATTGAGTCAATTAAGACGCTCGGCTCCTTCCAATCTGTTTCTGACTTGTAGGGAGCTGTATTAGCGTTCTCGATGAGCTAGTTTCCCACAGTAGGGCGTAGATACCCGGACACGAAGGTCACAATGACAATAAGCAGGCCGATGCTTGAGCCCGTAAAGGAGCTAAAGCCATGACAGCTCCAAAAGCTCTTTGTTGTCTGGCGAAGACAAGTTTAGTGTATGTCAATTCGTTGACGAAATGCAAACAACCAAGCAACCTGAAATGCGGCAGGAGAAAAAGTACATGAAGGAACGAAAGACCTTCTAAACCACAACCACAAGGTTGTAAGGTGTCATTGCCGGTTTAAAAAAATATAAGAGTACCATAATAAGCTTGGCATAAGCCTGGCATAAGAAACGCATAGGGAACGCAAAGCAGATTCTGTCAAAACCAAGAAGAAACCGTACCTATGTGGAGAATGTGACGCGTTAGCAAGGTTGAGACATGAGAGATGGTGGAAAGAGAAACCAGAGGATAAACGTTATATGAAGGATATATTCGTCATTACTGATGAGACCTACCAGGTTTTATCAGTGGTGCTATGGTGAACCACTGAACTGTCCTAGAACGAACAAGCCTGAAAGTAAAAGGGTTTGGTATCCGCCCCTATGAAGATACCATCTATGGTATGGTCTGCAAGGCAACTTGGCATAGGGCAGCTTCCCTAACAATATGATGTAACCACCATCACTTATCGCTTATTTCTATCTGCAACCTAGTTTCTAACGAAGTATTACTTTTTTTCTGGCCTGTTATTGTGTCAAAGTGGTCTTGCGATTGAGTATTTGCTGAAATACCATACCTGAATATATATGGTCCAGCCTGATCTTGATCTCTTTCCATCGTCCAGTTTGAACCACTTCGCATTTCCTTGCATAGTTCGTTACGAGTCAGAGATCGCAGTTCCAGAGCGGGGCTTCCTGGTGCAGAGAATTCTTCGTTTTGGAGTGTGAATTGAAATGCTTGGACAGGAGCTGTGATAACAACTTTACTCAAAGGAGCACCCAAACCACTCACCAAGTCTACCATCGAGTCCTGAAATAAGAATCGGAATATGCTTGATTATCATTCGTAAGTATCTATATTAATTGTCATTTTCACAATTCGTGATGGAAGGCGGTTGAATATTTCAAGCCTGTTATTTACATGGTGTTTTCGTACTACGGTACGAAATTTTAGAGGGTTATTCGTTATAGTCTAATCAACAAGTTCAAAAACATGAAAAATAGAGGTAAAGGTCCTAAAAATATGAGCGATAGCTCATTCGATTCGCATTTACCTCTAGAAAAATGTTTTTGAGGATTTTGGTGCAGGTAAAAAATTGCAATTGTTATTAACAATATAAGATTAAAAAAATGGTATTTAGTTTTTCGTTAATAACTCAAACAATATTAATATTTAAGCTCGTTAAAGAGGAGGAAATTTCCGATAAAAAATTCCCGACTCCCGAAACTATCTCCATTATTCATAATTTTAATTTGACGTTGAAAATAGGGTTCCGCGCGGCTGTTACGGCATGCGCGCGCTGCCGCTAAAGAGAGTTTATCAAAAGAAATAACTTTTTATATCATAAAATGTCATTTTAAAAATTTGAAAAAAATCTAGTATCTTCTTAACACTTGAATGAATTGAGTCCCGTAGAAAAAAAATATCATCACCATTTTTCAAAAAGTTATTCATTTGTTAACTAACAAATTTTTCCCAATCTCCGTTGGCATAAATAATGGGATTGAAGGTATAAATAATTGGCCTATGAATTTTAAACTTCGTGAAGCCCTTTTGATATATATACTTCATACGATCCTGCGATGAAAGTTCATAAAAATTTATTAATTTGTTAATTATGATTTTTTTATAACTATTGCAGAATGAAATATCTAAAATTGTTGATATATTGTTTTTTCAATTGATATATTTAGCTATGTCTGTTTTCACATTAAACAATGGCTGTTATTAACATAGGATATGAATTTTTTACGTAATTTCTTTATTAAATTGTTTTAAACAAATAGAGAAATTCAATATTTTTGAAATTTTTTTTTGCTATTTTGTTGTTTGAATGTTTGATTTTTTTTTTCTGAATTTCAATTTTTGATAGTTTATAATCGATTTTTTTATATTTCGATTGTTCAAATGATTAGTTAAGAAATAATTTTTGCTCCATGAAGTTTAAAATTTATAGGCCAATTATTTATATCCCATTATTTATGCCAACGGAGATTGGGAAAAATGGTGATGATACATTTTTTTCCACGGGACTCGATTCATTCAAGTGTTAAGAAGATACTAGATTTTTTTCAAATTTTTAAAATGTCATTTCATGGTATAAAAAATTAATTCTTTTGACAAACTCTCTTTAACGGCAGCGCGCGCATGCCGTAACAGCCGCGCGGAACCCTATTTTCAACGTCAAATTAAAATTATGAATAATGGAGATAGTTTCGGGAGTCGGGAATTTTTTATCGGAAATTTCCTCCTCTTTAACGAGCTTTTTTCAAAATTGCTTAAATATTAATATTTTTTGAGTTATTAACGAAAAACTAAATGCCATTTTTTTTTTTTAAAATCTTATTTTGTTAATAACAATTGCAATTTTTTACCTGCACCAAAATCCTTCAAAAACATTTTTCTAAAGGTGAATGCGAATCGAATGAGCTATCGCTCATATTTTTAGGATCTTTATCTCTATTTTTCATGTTTTTGAACGTGTTGATTAGACTAGTTAGAACAGTACGAAAGAAGGTTTCATGAATTTATGTTCGGAGTTGTAATATTGAGGAAAAAAATACGCTACTGTATTCTTGTTTTAGTTTTTTTTCTAGATCAAGCAACTAGAAATATATATTTCTTGTATTCACTTCATATCTTAGTTTTTGAGAGTCCATTCCATTGCATATCATGAACATGGAAAACAAATTTATTTTTTAATAAATTGAACTTACTCAGTCACTACTCCTCTTATTTAGCTAATAATTTAATTTGACTCAATCAGTTCAAAGATGTTTGGAAGGTATCTGAGTTAAAAATAAGTTCACTATTGAAATATAAAAATTAATTTCCTTTCTAAACTATTGCCAGCTGATAGTGATAGTTTTATTGTTATATCCAGTGAAATTCAGAGTTGTTAATTAGGAGTGATTCCATTTTCAAAAACTTCACCATCGCTAAAATGGCTGACATCAACATCATTTATGGGTTGACTAATAAGAAAGAATCAGGGCAGATATCCTAACAGAGTAATTCCATGTGCTAAAACATTTAGAACGCTACATACAAGATTATGTGAAACTGGGAGTTATTATAAAAATGCAGGTGGTGGATGACCATAAACACACCTGGACTAGAAGACGATAATCAATACAATAGAAGAAGATCCTTAGTACCAGGAAAATTGTACTACAGCTTCAAGTCAGCCCAAAAACCCATTGGAGAGTTCTAAGAAAAAACCTCCTATATACATATCACATACAGTGGGTCCAAGCTCTACTGCCTTGGGATTCTGACCCAAAATTATTGTTTTGCACATGGTTGATTCATAATACGGCACACAATGATAATTTCGAATCAGGCAAATTTTTCACAAGGTGCTATTATGACCTTTCACAATGACCATTTTTGGTCCGACATGCTTCATGTTTTACATAAGACAAACTGGAAGAAAATTCAGAGCAACATAAAAGAACATAAAAATAGTTTCCAGGTAATCATACTAAGGATTACTAGAGTCATATCCGGATTACAGAGTTGAGAATTACATCCGATCTTTCCAGTTATTTGATGATAGCCTAGAATTGATCATATCTGGTTGGTTGTCACTTTTCGGAAAAAAAGTAAAGAACGGATAGATCAACTCTCGCGCGACAGTTGAAATTTCTAGTTAGATTTTTTCTAAAATTCTTATGCAATAGTTCGTTGATCGTTGACGATGATTCAGTCACATTAAACTTGAAAGTTCAGCACACCACTTCGTCGCTTCCAATGAAGAGAAGTGAACTGAGCGAAGGTTAACAAAAAAAACGTAATAAAACTGTAATTAGCGAACATCATTCGAAATAGACTTAATAATTATGGTAACACTTCGAAAAGAATCTGAAAAATGTGGTTCTGATGAAACATATTGAACATTGAGAATTGGCTTTCACGCTATTGAATGTCAACGGGTCTTTACCAAAAATAATTGAACAGGTATAATTTCGATAAGTGTATGCATGAGGGTTGGATATGAAAACTAAACGGCGCGGCGGTGAAATTCAAGGCAATTGAACGTGCGTCTATCTCTCAATAATAACTTTGTACTTGATTTATCATAGACCAAGTAATTGCTTGTTTTGGTTTTGAACTCAATTGGGAAGATTGTCAATGACAATTTTAATTGGCATTTATATTATTGGCCGTAATCTGGCCACCAGAATGGTATTTTGTTCACCAGTAAACTGAATTTCAATAAAACTCAAAGGTGATCTCTGGTCACTTGGAATAAATTAAAATTGACCTGCTTTTGAAAATTTAATTGATATGAAACTGCAACGATTTCAACTCAGTGCATACTCATATTCTTCGATGAACTCAAAGAATACAGCCTCAAGTTCCTTCCATTCATATCTAGGTTCAAAAATGCATGCTGTTTACTTAAATGAGATCTCATCAGATGAACAAATAGTTTCTTCACGGGGATCCATTCTAGGGCCTACTCTCTTTGTAATATATGTAAACGGACTTTATTCTAAATATTCACTGCCTAGCCCAGTATAGCAGTTATATACTATTTGAAAGGAAGGCAAAAAGTGGTTTACTTCCGATGTGCTCAACAAACTCTGGTATCCTTCAATAATAAGCACATTGCGCAAGAGAATAAAAGGCAAGTGGAGATCACAATTGATTTGATAGCTCATTTAAATGGAATTCTCACATTTACAATATGTACAAAAAACTTTCTCAGTGGCCACATATTGAAAACTTTCTATTACTGGTTATTCCACTCTTGCCTAAGTTATGGAACTCAATTTTATTTTTTCTCTATTTTCTTTCTTTTGTAAATCAAACTGAAACTTCTTGCAAACCTCCGTTCATGTTTATAAGGTTGTTTCGTTGCCTTACATTTTATCATATCCAGTTTAGTTGGGATAAATAGATAAAATCCACAATTCTACCATTAACACAAGCAGATGGTTCAATTGCAACAACAACCATAGAACAAGCAAATCTACTAGCTGAACAATATGTGTCCCACTCCACTGTCGATTTTCTGGGAAAGGCACAACCCACTATTCCCACACTAGAATCCACAATGCCGGAAATTACTTTTCGACGGCGTCTAGTCAGGAGAATTTTGAAACAGCTCAATAGATTCAGATAGATATATCAATAGATATCAACAATACAAGGCGTCTGGCCTGATGAAGTGCCCGTCATCGAACTTAAAAAGTGCGCCAATGAACTTGCATTAGTATTTTGCAGACTTTTCAACCTGCCTTACAAGAAAGTAGTTTTTCCTTCTCGTTGGAAGATTATTCGCTTTCAGCCTATTCGCAAAATGGGCAACTAACTATAGACCAGTCGCTTTACTAATCAGTGATATCAAAAATTATGGAGAAAGTCCCCAAATATTTGGAAGGCTTCAACATCTTGAGCGATCATCAATATGGCTTTCGGAAACCAAGATTAACAGGCGACCTTCTATCGTATGTCACTTATACTTGGAATAACGCAATCGAGAAACATGGAGAATCAAGAGCTGTTGCGCTTGATATATCTAAGGCCTTGTGTGTGGCATGAAGGTTTGCTGGCCAAACTCCAATGCTATGGTTTGTCGGATCATTTTTGTGTATGGCTCTTCAGCTTCCTGGAAAAACGTTCCCTGCAAGTGGCCGTAGATGGATATCTCTCGAATTTCATCATCAACGCTGGTATTCCCCAGGGATCCATATTGTCTCTAACCATCTTTTTATTGTATATCAACGACTTATTGGAAAAAAAACATGAATCCAATATATTGCTTTGCTGACGACAGCACATTTGTCTCGTTAATTCCCTTT